GTACCTTCTCAAAACATTTACACTTGTGGCGGTACAAAAGGGTTTTGAATAAAAAAGATGTCTACATAATATTAAGAAAAGACGTCACATATCCTTATTTTTTTTTTATTTTCATTAAATAAATACAATGTATTATTTGATTTATGACCAAAAATCCGAAAGAATTTAAAATAATCTATCAGAGATCAAATTAAAGGGCTCGACAGTCGTACATTTTAAAATTTTTTGTTAATATCACATAAACTGAAAATGGTTTTTTTTTGAGAAACCGTCTTTACAATTTTATATTTGAGTCAATTTTGTATTCCTGTTACGAAATAAGAATAAAACAAATATGTATTTCATTACAATGTTTTGTATTAACTTTATGTACAAGAAAAATAGTTTATTTTATTTACAACAAAATAAAAAATCGCACAGCTCTAAGTAAAATACGAAAAACGTCGTTATAATATGACAATAATATTAATTTGTAATAATCACTATTCTCAACTGCGACAACGAAAATAGTATTTGTTTGTTATAATAATAATTATAATAAAAATTTCGTTTCGCAAAGAAAATCACATTACAATCGTTTGATTTTAAAACATGCAACGGAAGAAGGGAAAAAGTAAAAAAGATAAATAAACAAATATTTGAAAAACTCAACCAGAGAACCGAAATAGGAAACAATCACACAGCAAAAATATTCCGCCTTAGCAACAGTATCGCATTGTACAGTTTGATTGCTGGTCCCAACTTAATGTTCAAAATGTTTGTCAGATCCTGCTGCGTAAGCATTAATAACGCTTCACCGTCAATATGATGCGCATCGAAGAGGGCCAAGTGCTCCTCGTTACAACTAGGTAATGAAGAAATAAAGTCGGCCACATCATCCACTGACCAATCGCGAGGATCTGCATCTTGACGTATAAACTGACGTAAATAATTCGCATGTTTAAACCACGTAGGATCGGGAGGCGGAGGCTGCACGAAACCGTTTTTGATGATGAGTCCGTCACGTTTTGGAACACTAAAACCTCCAGGAGGACTTTCGGTCTTACACCTCTTGGGGTATTTCCGTTTTGGGGGTTTCGAATCATCCGATTCATTCCACTCGGTTTTAATATTGTGTGTGTCCATGCGGGGAATTTTGGGTGGACGACCTATTCTGGGTTTTCTAAAGCAAAGAAAATTAATTTTAATGTAACGACAAAACAATTTTTCTAATCGAAATTGAAGAGGGTGGTAAAGGAAAACCAACACATTTCATTTCTGTCGTAATTATACGTACTTTTTGCTGTTTTAATAATAATAGAAGAACTTGATTAATTTGGCTAATTATCTTCTTATGCAAAAACACATTTATTTTATAATTTATTGACTTACTGCCTTTCAATGGGCGATTTGTCTTTAATCTCTTTAGAAACGGGAACAGAAACAGGCACGACAGCTTCAACCTGACAGTCGGGAGTTAAAAGGCGATCAGGCAGGATGTTTTCCTTGTCGATATTTTCTTCCGCATAGGGGCAATCGTTTTGGGACGAATGTGTTGGATATTTGGGACCTCTTATGTGGCCCACGCCTCTGCAACCCACCGTAGGGCATTCCAAAAAGTCGTAGACGTCATCAGGAGCTACAAAATAACAAAATTAATTAGAAAAGCTATTTTTGGTATAAACGTTACAAAAGCAGGACATTGAGTAGTGGCGATTTCGACATTAGAGAGCCTGAGGCGTTAGAGATTTTCGGCACCCCTTAAATTGTTACTTTTGAAATAACTCATTTGATTTTTTTTTGTTTTGTCTCTATACTCACTACTATTTTGAATAAGTATCGCATATAGGTTCAATATCAGTGTTAGTAAAAGTTTTACTAAAATAATACATAAATAGTGTTTGTCATATGATGTCGACATGGGGCACTGCCTCCGCCGTCTGTTTGTAAATGTGCCACTAATAACCAAGACTTACTTAAAGGAGGTTCAATGGGATGTCCAGTTTTTTGGCACCATCCAACTGGATGAATGTCAGTGCTGTCGTCGTCTATCCAGAAGTTATAACGATCTGGCCACCCATCGAATCGGATTCGTATCTGATGTTCTCGGACATCATCGACAGTCGCAACCCTAATCAGCTGTGGCACCCTTTTATCGACCGCTTCCAGACGCATCGATCGTTTGAAACCACAAGCGGGGCGCTGCTTGAAGGCTCGAACGGGCGCGGGGGTTGATTTTGTTTCTTTCAAATATTTTTCCCACGTGAACGTTTCCGGATTTGGATAACCTGGAAAAAATGAACATCCTGTTCTTCTATTTTTGGCTGCTAGAAGTACAACAAATCACATTACAGAAATTAACGCACAAGATTGAAATAATTACGAGGAAACGATTAGTATGAAGGTTAAATTAAACGAAAAAACGATAAACAAAAATCTTTTTTGATAGTAATAAGAAAAGAAAAAAAAGACCAAGAGGGACTACGTAGAAAAAAGGCGATCAGTTATTGGGGGACTATAAAAATGTGAATATTTTACAGTTACAATTTAAAACGGGCATCTTACCACTGGGTGGTGTTAAATTGTGACCATACTGGTCGCACCAACCCACGGGATGGATGTATGGGGATGTGGGATCGGCCCAGTAATCATAAATATCATTCCAATTATCGAAATGGATAAGAAGTCTGTTATCCATCATATCAGCTACTGTTGCGACACATNACACGTTAGTAATCACAATAATTATATATTATTAATTAAGATAACTATATCTGTATTGTTTATAGGATGGAGCAACGGCCCTTTTTAAGGCTTCCCATAAGGGCCATTCGGCAGTTGTGGGGGAACTGTTGAAATACAAACCGTCCCTTGGAATATTACCGGTAATTTACTTTAACGATAAATATTTATCTAAATTACCGATTTACATTTCTAAATATTTTAATTTCTAGAATGGGGAAAGTGCGTTACATGCGGCTGCCCTTTTTGGACACCTGACAATCTGCAAACAACTGGTAGCCGCGGGGGCGGATCCTCTTCTGAAAAATCAGGACGGAGTCACCCCTTTAAAACTGGCTATCAACAACAAACACCACTCAGTCAGTACCTACTTGAACAATTGTTCTAATAGAAATACAACGCAAAAATGACATAGGATTCAACAAATGAATTCGTTTATATATTTCAAATAAACGAGAGGACAGACAAAATAATTGTTAAACGGCTGAAGTGTTAATGTACGGGTAGTGCCTTTTTGATATCATATTATGTTAATGTTGTTTAACGTGGGAACGTTAAAAAAAATAATTGAAAAATACTTATAGTCCAAAATCAGTTTGCTTAATTTTTGATGATATTTTTCGGTTTTCTCACAAAGCAAATAATGAATCATTAATCTTTGTTCTGCTTGTTGCATTCGATAGGGGTTTTCATTATCTACTACTTTCTCGTTTAACTTTTTAATGATTATAATCATTAGATTTTATAAGCGTTATATCGAGCAGTCGAATAGAGAAAACGAAACGAACTAATTAGTGGTTTTATAGATAATTAATATGCCCTATAAAATAGCACACTTTAAAACGATTTCGAAAATTACAAATGTAAACGTACGCCCTGTACATTTTATACACACAAAACCGATATCTTTAACAATGGTACACATCCCATAACTCCAATACCAACGTCCTAGTGTGCCTTGAAGTGATAGCATGTACGTCTAAAAATGGATAAGGCTGAGGTGAATGTTAAGAAATTATTAATTCCATATAAAATTGGCGCAAAATGTATTCATATTATTTATACTCTTCCTTCCCTTATTATTTGTATATACACATAGTATTATTTCTAATAGTGATACAATATTAATACTCATGTACAGCTACTTGTAGCACTTGGTGAATGATCTGTTTTATTGTTAATTTTGTAAATAATGTTTTTTTGTTAAAATATAAAATTTATTACGTAACTAAATGAGTTTTATTTAATTCTTAAAAAGCACGGTAAAGGTCTAGATGATGGCGGGGGATCGAAAGAGGAGATCTCCCCCACCACTGTACCATAAAAAATTCGTGGCGGTCTCACCCCCATAAAAAGTTATGGGGGTTCAAAGTTAATAAATATGCCAATTTTTATACATTTCTAGGCATGTAAATATTTATATAGTCATTCTTAAACAATATTCAAAGGTAAAACTAATGGAAAAATACATAAAAATATTGAGAAA